ACATATAATACGATTATACGCATATAATACTTGGTAATACATGCCAGGTCGGCCCTGTCGTGATTTAATCACAGATAAGAAGATTGTTCTAGCATGTATTACCTAGTCCTGGTTAGGTCTGGAAGGGGGTGTGGCCCTTTCAGAAATGTGCCCAGTGGGGTTTTAGGTGTGGCATCAGCCCGGGTTTTGGAATCTGGGACTATAACATCTGTGGTGCTAGGTGGGGTTGCACTGCCCTAAACAGTGCACAACTTAGGGGTCCTTCTAGACTTGCACCTCCTGCTCAAAGAGCAGGTGGCAGTCATAGCTAGGAGAGTCTTTGCACAGCTTCATGTTGTGTGCCAGTTCTGCCCATTCCTACACTGGGAGGATTTGCTCATGGTCACTCACACCCTAGTAACCTCCCAAATGGACTACTGTAAAGCACTTTACATGGGGCTGCCCTTGAAGAGTATCTGGAAGCTTCAGTTGGTGCAAAATGCAGCAGCGTGGGCAGTTATTTGTGCCCCTAGAACGGCACATGTCACACCTATGCTCTGCAAGCTGCATTGGTTACCAGTCTGCTTCTATTTCCTTCCCTTTTTCTTTCCTCAGTTGGCCTGATTGGATAGGTCACACTGTGAACTGAATCATGGCTTCCTCTTTTTGAATTCAGAGTCAAATATAGTTTGCTTCTCACTTGACCTAAATGAATCAAGTTGGAGGAGGCAACAATGCTTCTTCTTTCTTCCTTGAACTGTGGTATGTACAAACCTATACAACCAAAGGTCACTTTAGTAACAATAGCAGCAAAATCTCCCTCCCAACATTACTGGCTTCCCTCTGCTTCTTATAGCAACCTGGAGAGCTTTCCATCCTCTTCATCTTTTAAGAAATATATACTATGTCTGTGAAAAGTAAAACCTGGGGCAACCGACCAATTGTAATGAGAAGAAGGAATAACTTTGAGGAACTTTGAGGAAGAGCTGGAACCAAGACAATAGTCAGATAAAGGAAATCGAAGTCTGGGACAGAATTGTAATTTGAGAAAGTGTTTCAGACCATTCCTAGTTCTCACGAAGATAAAGGGTGGGAGGGGGAAGTGTATTCAGATTTGCAAGATTCTGTTACTCTAACCTTAAAATAAAAGTAGTATTAGCATTCATGACTTTGGTTTCCTAGTCTGGTCTACCTTGAAGGGCTGACACCAATTCTGACAATGACCGCACAGGAATATGATACATTAATTTAATCAAAAATGTTCCAAATCAAAACAATTCTTTATTATGGCCATAAGGCTAGCACTCAGACAAAAATAGAACAGAACAGAATTATGGACAGAATCAAATCGAATCAAATCAGGATAGGAAGAGCACTGATGCCTTTGAACTTTGGTGCTGGAGAAGACTCCTGAGAATACTGTGGACAGCCATGAAAACAAACAAATGGGTCATTGAGCAACCCAGAGTTTCCACTGGAGGCACAAATGACTAGGCTCAAATGATCCTACTTCAGACACTTTATGCGAAGACCTAGCTCTCTGGAGAAGGCTCTAATGCTGGGAAAGATGGAAGGAAAGAGAAG